CTTCACCAAACATAATCTAATCCCAACCTAACCTAACCTTAACTTCACCAAACATAATCTAATCCAAACTAACCTAACCTTAACTTCATCAAACATAATCTAATCCCAACCTAACCTAACTTTAACTTCACCAAACATAATCTAATCCCAAACTAACCTAACCTTAACTTCATCAAACATAACCCAACATACCCCTAACCAAACCTAATGTAATCCAACCTAACTTTAACTAAACCTTAACCTCACTGAACCTAATCTAATCCAGCCTAACGTTAACTAAACACTGAACCTAATCTAATCCAGCCTAACGTTAACTAAACACTGAACCTAATCTAATCCAGCCTAACGTTAACTAAACACTGAACCTAATCTAATCCAGCCTAACGTTAATGTAACATAACCTGTACAGATGTGTAAACTAAAGGTGTTTGAGTGAGGGGACAGGATGTTGGGACAGCTCTGTTCCTCCTGATACCAACAACAAACCGTTTCTAAGGTCTTTTCTAAGAGCTCAATAAAGGAGGTCTTTTCACTGAATGATGGAGACCCACCAGCCTGGTTCTGTCAGAACCAGCCTGGTTCTGACAGAACCAGGCTGGTTCGGTCTGACGGAACCAGCCTGGTTGCTATGTGACAAACAGGCTCGGTCCAAAACTAAAGCTCTWCAGTTTCCTGCAACTTCCAGATGGACTCGACTTCAGTTTCTACAGTTTAGTGTGCTGAACGTGTCTGAAAGAGAATAAATCAGTTTATTACTGTAGTGGTGAGTTTGTAACAACATCTTTAACCTCTGCACATTCACACTGCTACAGAAAAACTATCTGACTGTTGTAGCCAAGGCACACTACTTCCTGTTCACCCTGAACACACACACACACACACACACACACACACACACAGGTTAGCAGCTGAACTGGAGAGAGGAGAAAGCAGCAACAGGTGTTGGAGCTAAATCTGCTCTGTGACAGGACTTTATCTGGGTTATTATGGGATGCTGCCTTAATGAAGGAAACATTTGTAACCATCATGTTTGACTGTTCATCAGTTTAGCTGCTGGGCTGTGTGCAGAGAGCAAACACACGATGAGACAACAGAGACACACGGTCTSATTTACAGACGGGACAAAGTCCAACAACATTTACATGCAGAGCCTGTAGAACCGGATTTATGACCACAGAAACCTTCAGTAATAATCATCTTCTACAATCCAAAAACAGCAATAAAACTAATAATCCATCAATTATTAATTAAAGCAGCAGAAACACAAAACATCCATCATTAATCAGGCTCCAGGATTAACACTAATTCATCAGTTTATAACTTTAACTGCAAAACAAAACAAAATATTTACCTTTTTGTAGTATTCTCGGTACTGGACGGGTTCTGCTGGTCCGGATAAATGTTCGAAGGAGCAGCTGGAGCTCTCAGGCCGAACGTCCAACGCCTCCTTCCTGCTTCTTCAGCCGAACCTGTGGATAGCAGCTAGGCTAGCCTGTTAGCAGCTAGGCTAACCTGTTAGCATTAGCTCCGACAACAAACAGGCGGACAGACCGGAAGTCAGGCGGTTCACTCCTCGGTTCTGTTCTATAAAATGGACCCGAACGCGTCTCTGTGTTCACGAACTGCAACGAACTGTTCTCTCTGTTCACGGTAACGACGTTGAGCTATTTAACTATTTAACCATCGACCGAACGCGGACGAACGCTATCGGGACGGGAGCGTGAAACCACGCGAGACTTTGAGCGAGAAGGAGCGCGCGGCGCGGGAACGTGAGCAGAATAAAGTGGGTCAAAGAGACGGAAGCGTGTTAATGTTACAACAACATAATAATAGTGTCATCAGTACGGTTCTGTTACGGGTTTGTTTTTTATAAACTGTTCCGGTTCTGTTTGGTTCTGATCCAGCTCAGACTGGATCCCTGAATGTTGTTGTTTCTGTTTATAAAGTTTTCATGATGTTTTTCCTGAACATCTTTAGTTTTCAGTGATTTTCTCACACATTTAGCAGCAGAAACAGAATTTATGGTTCTTAATTTAACCGGGTCACTGTCTTTTTATTTAACTGTTTATTTTTATTTTTAGATGATTATTTTATTTTAACAATATTAAACTTTAATTACTAATGATTAAAAATCACAGATTTGTTACAGTTAATAGTCTGTTCAGATTGTTTTGCACTGAAAACAGGAAAATTCTGATTCCTGTCAGATAGTTTCTAAAACAAAACAAATCTTTTTATTTTTGCACAATTCTTTATATTTTTATTATAGTAGTATCATTGCTAGTTAGTGTTAATTTATTTTTTGTGTAATGTCTATAGTTTGTAAACTAGTGTGTGAACCTCTGTACAGATGCTGCTGTGACACTGAATTTCCCCTCAGTGGGCCAAAAGCTTTTTCTATTCTATTCTATTCTTTTCTATTTCTATTCTATTCTTTGAGTCATAAAGTTGCTGTTTTAAAACTTGTTTTGTTTTTCTGTGTGTGACTGTTTTGATGGTTGATGGTCGGTCCTTGTCCCTCCACAGAGACATTCAGTCCATTTCTGTCCTCGAGACRATCTGCAGAACTCAAATTTAGAAACAATCAACCAAATGTAACTGTTACAGAGAAAAACTCTGGTTCTATAATAAAAGCGACGAGTCGTTTATTTTAGGGACGTTTGTAGACGTGGACCTGCTGAGGTCGGGTTCAGGGGTCTGGAGGGAACCCCAGGTCATGTTCTGATGCAGAGATCTGAGGTCCACATGAACGGGACATGTTGCAGCTCCACCCTGGTCTTCCTCAGAGTCTTCCTCCTCTTCAGACACGAAGCTGAGCTGCAGGTTAATCCAGTCAGAGCTCAGATAACACACACCACATTCTGTCCTGCTGATGACAATAAAACTCTTATTAGATGGAGTCAAACTGGTCTGGTATATTTCCTGAAAAACAAGCCTGATTCACAGGAAATAATTTCCATAAAACTTCAGAGTTAACTTTGAGTTTTCCCTCAGCTCAGTGGTGAAATGTTTACTCAGAGGAGCCAGCTTCAGCTGAATAAATAAAGTTTATTTGCTCTGGATTTGTTGGTTTTAGAGACAGAAGTGAAGGTATCAGGTTGTATCTGACAAGAGTTCTGATCAGGACGGGATCAGGACTTTTAGACTGGATCAGGACTTCTGGACCGGATCAGGAGTTCTGATCAGGACGGGATCAGGAGGTTTATTAAGTGCAGATGGAGTTGTGTCTCAGTGCTGCCACCTGCTGGAGGTGAAGGTAAATGTTGATGACGTCACCCTTCAGTAGCTCTTGAACCTCGTGTTTTCACATTATAACTTTAATAATAAACGTGTTTCAATCCAGCTGAGCAGTTTAAGGAAGTAAAGAAATGTGTTTTGGACAGACGTCTACCCAGAATGCACTGCAGCGAGCACGATGCTGGAGGCTTGATGGTTTCACAAAGCTTTATTAGACAGAAGTCCTGCAACAGGAGGCCGAGGCAGCTGCTCTTTTTACATTTACATCCAGCTACTCTGCCAGCGTTAAATAACTCAACAATTCAAGACAAAAGCAGCAAAACACACAAACACACAACTGAAAGTAACATCAGAACAAGAACAAGAAGAACCACTGTCAAACATGGAGCTGACCCAGGGTCAGAGTGTTTTAAACTTCCTGCAGTCAGTCATCTCTAAGGTGCATCGTCCAACCTGCAGGAGACATGTGAGTGAAACCAGAGCCGTGCTGCACCCAAACAAAACTCTGAGTTCACTTCCTCCTCTTCCTCCTCCTCCTCCTCCTCTGTGGAGCTGCAGTCCAACCCTGGGCAGTTTGGCACCATGTCCCCCACGCTGCCGGGATTGTGGGGCGTAAATCTCAAAGCTCCAGAGACGAGACGAGGCAGTGTCGTCATGACGACTCACAGGACCTCTGCAGAAAAACCATAAAAAACATGAAGTCTTCCTCCACAGGAGCTGCAGACACATTAAAGCTTTTATTAATTAATTAATTAATTAATTAATTAATTAATTAATTAATTAATTGTTGAATCTTCTTCAGGCAAGATTAAAACATAAAGTTATTGAAAAAGTTCTCTACGTTACTCTTCATGAACACAAAAAGGAATCAAACAGATCAAGTTTTAAAAACTACAACAGGCAGAAGCACTGAGCAAGATGGCCGCCCACCTCCAAATTACAGGTGCAGATGCAAACTACAGGTGTGTGTGTTGTGTTTTGATGACCTTTGACCCTGCTGTGTTTCTGTACCTGCGACATGTTGAGGCTTCAAAGCACCCGTCTTCATCAGGAAAGGCTCCGCCCCCTCGAAGGTCAGCAGGGGCTGTCCGTCACCGCTGGCTGAGACGCCGTTCTGGATGCCGTTTATGACCACAGGGCCACTTTGTGAGGGGCCAGGAACCACTGCAGGGGGGCCCTGCTGGGGCCCGGGAACTGCAGAGACACCAGGGGACATTTTAGAAACCGTCTGGAGGCATAATGAGACGTAAACTACTTCCTGTTCATCAGGAACACCTGAGCTGCTTTCTGTTGGCCAGGTTCAAGAGTTTATTAAAACAGTTTTAATATTTAGTTTTTTAATAAGAAGTTTGAGTTGAACAGGAAGGATGATTGTGTGAGAGCTGCTGAGGAAACCTCACCCTGACTGAGCTCAGAGCCGTTGACCTGCGGAGACGCTCTGACCTCCTTCTACGATCCAGAAGACAAAGACAGGTTAGGCTCAGACACGTCTTCAGACCAGTTCCTGTCAACCACACCAACCTTTTCTCCTGCGTCGCTCCTCCGAGTCCTCTTCATGATCTCCTCCAGGCGCTGAGGGGATCAGATCAGAAGGTCAGCTGCTGACGTTCTGAGCTTCACTCTGAAGTCTCAAAGCGTGCTCACCTTCTTACGCTCCAGACGCTCCTGCTCCTCCTTCTGGAAGTGTTTCTCCCGCTCCACGCGCTGACGCTCCGCCTCCTCGCGAGCTCTGGCTTCGGCTTCCTCCCTCTGAGAGAGGAGAGAGGAGAGGAAGAGGACTGTCTGCAGGGTTCACGCTCTGGACCGGACCGAGGATCGGACCAGGGCTGGGACCTCTGCTTCTAWGGTGCAGCATGAGGGCCAAAATTCAGAGTATTGTGCAAACAGGAGGTGCTACATCCATGTAGCAGGAGGCTTTTTCTGCTCCTAACCAGCTCCTGCATGCTTTAGCATCAGAGGCCTCTCCAGTGCTAACACCAGCTCATCCATGCTAGTTTCTAGCCTCTCTGATGCTAACACAAATGAATATTCTCCTCCTCATGGGAGGGTCAGGCTTAGAGGAAACCTAGCTCCTGCTGCTCCTGCAGGAGTCAGAGTAAACCCACCCTGTAGCTCCTGGTCCAGACTCACCTGCCTCTGCAGCCTCTGGTTCTCCTCCTGCTCAGCTTTCTCCTCCTCAAGTCGCTGAGCTTCGTCTCTCAGACGCTGCTGCTCCGCCATGAACCGCGCCTCCTCCTCCCGCCGCTTCCTCTCCTCCGTCTCACGGGCCATGGCCTCCTCCCGGAGGACCCTGAAAGAATTCAGATCTGTGGTCAACTCTGAGGTTCTGTGAAGTCCTGCTTCACCTCCTCACCTGTCTGTCTTACCTGTTACGATGCTCCTGCTCCACACGCTCCTGCTCCTCCTTCTCCCGCTGCTCCCTGGCTTGTCTTCGTTTCTCCGCCAGGACACGAGACGCCTCCTCTGGGTTGTTGGTGCCAGCAGACGGTTTGCTGGTTGGAGCACCTGAGGAGGAGGCTGCAGGAGGAGCAGTGATGGAGGTGGCTGCAGGAGGAGCAGTGATGGAGGTGGCTGCAGGAGGAGCAGTGATGGAGGAGGCTGTAGGAGGAGCAGTGACGGAGACGGCTGCAGGAGGAGCAGTGATGGAGGTGGCTGCAGGAGGAGCAGTGA